GCGGCTGTCATCGCACATCGCTCATCCTATATCTACACACGATCTCATCCCATGCTCATGCTATAATCTACACACATCTCATCTCATCCTATAATCTACACACCATCTCATCATCGATACCTGTATTATTCTACAACGACACATCTCATCTCATCCTATAGTCTACACAACATCGGTCCATCTCATCCATATATTCTACACACATCTCAGTCTCAATCCTATATCTACACAGCCTCTGCCATCTCATCTCTATATCTATCGCTAACCACATCTGCCACTCTCAATTCCTATATCTACACACCATCTCCATCTCATCCTAATATCTAGACCCCCGCACCACGCACTCCCATCCTCTCCTATATCTAGCAAGCAAATTCATCTCATCTCAATCCTATAATCTACCCACAATATCATCTCACACCATCTCATAGGCAGTGCTCGTCCGTGGAACATAAAGGCTGTAGCTGTGGGTGTACTGACGGGTCAGGAAGTTGTTTGTTTCATCCGCTCAGTCACTTCGTGAAGCGCGTGTGTTGGCAGGCGGCCTCCGTCAGAGCGAGTAGGAGCAATCAATGAGTGTATGCACGCACTGCGAGCGTGCTGTCGTCGTGAAGGCTGGGTGATCTACTTGTGCCGCACGCACGCCTGAAGCCCAGCAGCTGTGCTGGCAGCATCGAGGCAGAACCTCTAGCGCAAATTCCTAGAGCTGCTCGTGTGTCTGTTTGCGTGCGTGCGTGCGTGCGTGCGTGGCGTGCGTGCGAGCTGCCTGTGAGCGTTAGTGGTCACCTCGTGCCTGTCGTCGTGGGCGCGAGGGTGGTGTGCGCGCAGTGTGGTGTCGTGCGTGTGTGCGTCGCGCGTACGTGCGTGTGTGCGTGGGCAGCGTGTGTGTGCGTGCCGCGCGGGTGTGTGTGTGTGCGTGCGTGCCGCGCGTCTGTGTGTGTGTGCAGTGCGCGTCGCGTGTGTGTGCGTGTGTGGTGCGCGTGCGTGCGTGTGGTCTGTGTGTGCGCGCGTACGTGTGCGTGTGTGTGTGTGCGCGTAGTACGTCGTGTGTGTGCGTGCAGCGACGTGTATAACTTCATGGTTCAGCCAGCCCGCTACTCGTACGTAACAGCGAGATCGTCGAGGCAAAAGGAAGAGTAGACGAGTTTATTCTGCAAGTCGTTCTGTCAATCAGTAATCTCGAAAACTGCTGGGGGAATTACTGTCGTTAAGGTTGTGGTTTCCTTCCTAGACTGATTGCAGATGTAGCTGACTGTCGTTCGGTAGACAATTATCGATGACTCGTGGAGTCAGTTTAGTTCTTAAAAGGCCGTGGCTACTCGTCCGGTCATATATTTCTTATGTGAGTGGACCAAACTATATTTTTTTCAGTAAAAAACAATAAACTATAAGTTATTACCATAATATACCTTTAGGTATTTTATCCAAAAAATGTGTTTTTGTAACTTTTGAAGCAATAGTAAATCCAGTAAAATCAACGATTTGAAAGGGGCGTGGCCTAATCCTGACGTGGATTTGGGAATCTGTGCTGAGCTTTGTAATGGATGACCGGACGCGTAGCCACTGCGTTTTAAAAAATACAAATAGGATCACAAATAGGAAGACAATCTGAAATCGCGCCCCCTGTAATCAGACAAGAGAGCAGTAGGCAGCACCCTGACCGCAAGGCTTCATTGTAGAGGAGTGAATCTCTCTCATCCACCTGATGAATTACACTGAATCATCGCACGTGACCATTGTCACGTGACGCCCCATTCTAGCTGTATGTGTGAAATACGCGCTATGTCTATAGAGGATATTTGTGGGTACAATTAGCTCTCATCTACCAATCAGCTGGAATGTTTCTAAATTATATTCGAATTCTAAATTTCGATCCGAAGGTGTTTTAATGTGATATCGTTGCAGGGCGTTGTGCCCACGCAGACATATTCACTCACAGCTGCAATAACAGAACATTAAAGTGACTGATGCAGCATTCAGTGTTTCCTTGCCTTTTGCTGGACTTTCTTGCCAGCGAGTCTTGAGTTAGACACGCACGCGCACACACACACAACACACACACACACACAACCTCCGCATCCTACCTCATCTCCCCCCGCACAGCATCCTTTCTCTCTCTAAAAAACATAATCCCATTGTCTATCCCGCTACCATCTCCACATTGTACGCACGCACACCACCAATATCAATTCCTCCCCCCAATCTTACCACACACACCACACAATCTATCTCCAAGCACACATCCCCCCCATCTCATAAATCATCAACTGCCCACCCCATCTTGGCTATAAACATCACATCCCACCCCATCTCGCATAAACATCACCATCCCACCCCAGTCTCAATAAATCTCAATCCCATCTCATCTATATCTACAACATCTCATCTCATCTATATCCTACACACATCCAGCTACTCATCCTATTCTACACACATTCTCATCTCATCCTATATCTACACACATCTGCATCTCATCTATATCTACACACATCTCATCTCATCCTATATCTTACACACATCTCATCGCCATCCTATATCTACACGACACTCTGCATCTCATCCTATATTACACACATCTCATTCTCATCCTATAATCTACACAGCGATCTCATCCATCTCATCCTATATTTACACACATCTCATCTCATCCTATATGCTACACACTCCCATCTCATCCTATATCTACACACATCCCATCTTCACTCGCTATATTCTAACACACATCTCATCCGATCTCATCCTATATCTACACACATCCCAATCTCATTCCTATATCTACACACATCTCATTCTCATCTCATCCTTATTTATCTACACCAACATCCCATCTCATCCTATATCTACACACATACGCCCCATCCATCCTTATCTACACTTTCACCATATCGAATCTATCTCATCCCATCTCATCGCTAAATATTACAACAATTCATCCCCATCTAATCCTATATCTACACACTATCTTTCATCTCATCCGTATATCTCCCATCTATTCATCCATATCTCACATCTCATTCGCCATCTCATCGGCTATATCTACACACATCTCATCTGCATCCCTATACTTACACCAATCCCATCTCATCCTATTCTACACACATCTCATCTCATGCCTATATCTACACACATCCCATCTCATCCGCTATATCTACACACATCTCTCTCAATCCTATAATCTACAACACATCTCATCTCATTCCTATATGCTTAACACACATCCATCTCATTCCTATATCTCTACACAATATCTCATCTCATCTCATCCTATATCTTACGCCCCCACATAATCATCCCATTCTTCACAACATCTCATACGGCAATCTCAGTCCGTGAACATATAGGCGTAATGCTGGTGGGGTACTGACGCGGGTTCACGAGTTGTTTGTTTCATCGCTAGTCACTCGTGGAAGCGCGTGTGTTGGCAGGCCGCCTCCGTCAGAGCGTAGGAGCATGCATGAGGTAATGCACGCACTGCCGAGCGTGCTGTCGTGTGCGGAAGGCGGAGCTGATCTATGTTTTAAGCCTGCACGCACAGACTGAAGGCCAGCAGCTGCTGGCTCGCAGGCATCGAGCAGAAACTAGCAGCGCTTCCTAGAAGCTGCTCGTCGTTGTCTGTTTGCGTGCGTGCGTGCGTTGCTGCGTGCGTGCGTGCGTGCCTGTGAGCTTAGTGGTCACCCTGCGTGCGCTGTGTGCGGTGGGCGCGGCGTGGTGCGCGCGTGTTGTGCTGCGTGCGTGTGTGCGTGCGCGCGTAACGTGCGTGTCTGTGCGTGGCGCGTGTGTGGGCGTGCGCGCCGTGTGTGTGTGTGTGTCGTGAGTGCGCGCGTGTGTGTGTGTGCGTGCGCGCGGCGTTGTGTGTTGCGATGTGTGTGTGCGCGCGTGCGTGCGTGTGTGGGTGTTGCGCGGTCACGTGTGTGTGTGTGTGTGTGCGCGTCGTGCGTGTGTGTGCTGTGCGCCGTACGTGTATAACTTCATGGTTCAGGTCCAGCCTTTTTTTTCAAATAACCAGTAAATTCGTAAACGGGGTAAAAGCAAATAAACAGTATATCCGCCTGATGCACAGACGAGCCGCGTGACGTAACACGCACGTGTGCGCATGATCTCTCAGCTTCCTCGACCTACATCCGCCTCAGCTGAAGCCCTATTCAACATTGAGCCGCATCCACAACACATACGCAGCAGCGAGGAAGTGTAGTTGAACTTGTGCGCGTCTCACTGACTGAGGATTCCAATAGAATAATTACTCGGCTGCAGTGGTGGCGTGTTGTATAGCTGCTACTTCTGTGTCGTACTGTGGCTATATTAACCGCTTGTAGAGTTACGGTGCGTCTAGCCCTCACGTATTAACAGCTTGTGGTAATCGCGCACGATGCCTCGTTGGGCATGGGACTCCTGTCTGATCTGGTAAAGCGGTCACTATATAGCCTATAGGCCAAATATAGCGGTCACTATATAGTCTATAGGCCGTATATAGCAGTCACTAGCAGGGTCGTGTTCTCACTAGATACCCCGTGTGTGAGGTGAGGTGTGCCTCTCGTGATCTAACCGCTGACAGGGACCTGGTCTGAGGTGCCTGTACTAACTACTCATCAGTGCGAAAAGATCAACGCATTCCTCTTCTAGCTGCTAGCTGGCTGCTGACCTGTCCGGAGCGTAGTGTTAGAGTCGTCATCTAGCCGCTGACCCGTGCGTAGGGTGGCGCTTTGCCTGGGCGAGACGGGTCTCCGGTGCTGACTTACCGCTCGTGACACTGTCAGTCAACCCGACGCCTTTTGTTTTCAGCACTGACGGTGTTATCACAGCCAGGGGGCGCCAGCAGCACCGACGGCTCGCAGAACGAGGAGCGTAAGAGATTTCGCAAGCGGCCGGATTCCGCAGACGCTAGCCATCTAACGAAGAGTCCCACATCGAAAGGTAAGCTCACACCTAAAAGCCGCCCTTCCGTCTCAAAGCTGTCCTTGCTATGTGTACATCTGCGTGTATCGCTGGCGGATACATCAAGGCCATGGCCCCCATCCCCTGTCGAGGAATCAATGTCAGAAAAACAAACTTCTGTGAAACAAATCTTTGAATATTAGGACAGGGCACACTCGCTACCCATGCACGCACGCACGCACGCACGCACGTCTCTCATCCTATATCTACAACACATCTCATCCATACTCATCCTAATATCTACGACACATCATCATACCATGCCTATATTACACACATCTCAGATTCTCATCCTATATCGCTACGGCACATCTCATCTCATCCTACTATCTACACATCATCTCATCTCATCCTAATATCTACATGCACTATCTCATCTCATCCTATATTCTACCACACATCCCATCTCATCCTATATCTACACACGAACTCATCGCCTCTCATCCTATAAGTCTACACACCATCTCATCTCATCCCAATATCTATCACACCATCAATCCGATCTCAATCTCTATATCTACACATCACATCCTCATCCCATCTCATGCTATAGTCTAGCAACATCATCGTTCATCTCATCCTATATGCTACACATCACCTCATCTCACCTATATCTACACACACCCAGTCTCATCCCTATATACACCAGCATCTCATGACTCATCTAAATCTAACACAAGCATCTCATTCTCCACTTCTCATCACTCTAATACTAACCAACACATCCACTATCCATATATCTACACACAAGTCCCATCTCATAGCCTATATCTATCCACATCTCATCTCATCCTAGAATATCTACACACATCTCATCCTATACTCTATCCCATCCCTCATTCTCAATCCTAATCGTACACACATTCATCTCATTCTCTATAATGCTAACACACATCTCATCCTATATCTAACACACAGTCCCGCTCCATTCATCCTAATCTACACCATACACATCTCATCTCATCCTAATCCTACAGCACATCTCATCTTTCATCATCATTCCTATATCTACACACATTCACCATCTCATCGCTATATCTACAAACACATCTCATCTCATCCTATAATCTACTCAACCATCTCATCTTCAGTCATATAGTCTATACACACATCTCATCTATCCGCCATCTTCGATCCATATCTACACACATCTCATTGCATCCTATATTCTACACACATCTCATCTCATCCTACTTATAGTCTAACAGTAACACACATCTCATATCATCCTATATCTACACACATACTCACTCATCCCATCCTATATCTACACCATATCGTCCATCTCATCCTATACTAACTAAACACATACCCATTCTCAATCCTATATCTAGCACACATCTCATCTCATCCTATAATCTACAATCAGCATCATCCGCATCATCATCTTCCATCCTAGTATCTAGCACACATCTCATCTCCATCCTCATCTAATGATCTACCACACAGTCCCAATCTCAATCCTAATATCTACACACCATTCGGTCATCTCATGTCCTATCTACACACATCTCAGTCCCATCCATCTATATCACACACATCTCATCCTCATCCTATATTCTATCACACATCTCATCATCATCCTATATCTTACACCGAACATGTCTCAATCTCCATGCCTATAATCTACACACAGCTCCATCCATCCTAATGATCTACACACACATTTCATCTCATCCTATAATCTCACACATCTCACCATCCCATCATCATCCTATACTCTACACACACTCATCATCTCATTCCTATATCTACACCACATATCTCATCTCATCCTATAACTAGCACACATGCCACATCTCCATCCTATATCTTATCACAATCCATACTCATCCTAAATCTACACACATCTCACTCACAATCCTATATCTACACAGACATCCTCATCCTGCATTTTATATCCTACAACACATCCCCACTCATCTAATATCATACACACATCTCATCTCATCCTATATCTAACACAACATCTCATCCCATCTCATCCTATATCTTACACACCCTACATCTCATCCCATCTCATCTATATCCCACACATATCCATCTCAATTCCTATATCTACACCACCATCTCACCCCAAATCTCATCCTATATCTACACACATTTCATCTCATCCTATTATATCTACACACATCCCATCTCCATGCTCATCTCCTATATCTACCATATATCTACAACACAGTACCAATCCATCCTATATCTACACACTCTCATCCCATCTCATCCTATATCTACACAGCACCACATCCAATATCCTATATCTAACACGAGCATGACTCATCTCATCTCATATCTACCACACATCTCATCTCATCCTATAATCTACACACATCTCATCTCATCCTAATACTACACCATTTCATCTCATCCTATATCTACACACATCTCACCCATCTATCACCTATGATCTACAACATCCCATCTCATCCATATCACATCACATTCAGCTCATCCCTCATATCTAACACACATTCTCATCCCATCTCATCCTATATCACACACATCTCATCTCAGTCTGCTATACTCACACACTCTCATCCCTCCTAATATCTACACAACATCTCATCCCATCTCATCCTATATCACACACATCTCATCTCATCGCTATACTCTAACATCACATCTCATCTCAATCCTATATCTACACACATCCATCTCATCCTATATCACACAACATCTTCATCTCATCACTATTCTACACACAGTCTCATCTTCATCCTATATCTAACACACATCTCAATCCATCTATCCTATATCTACACACATCTCATCTCATCACATATATCTACACCATCCCATCCATCCTAGATCTAACAGCACATCTCATTCATCCATATTATCTACACAAGTCTTCATCCATCCTATATCACACACAGTCTCATCTGCATCTATATCTACATCGCACATCTCGACCTCATCCTATAATCTACACATCATCACCATCTCATCATACACACACATCTCATGCTCACCTAATAATCACACACATATCATCTCATCCACATCTACACACATCATCCCATCCATCCTATATTCTACCACACATCTCATCCATCCTATATCTACACACATCCCAGCTCATCCTAATATCTACACACATTCCCATCTCATCCTATATCTAGCACACATCTCCTCAATCCTATATCTACAGCCACATCCCATCTCATCCATATTCATACACACATCTCATCTCATCCATATCTACACACATCCGCATCTCATCCTATATCTACACACATCTCATTCCGCATCTCATCCTATCATCGTACACACATCTCTATCTCATGTCCTATACTACAACATCGTCCCATCTCATCCTATATCTAACAACACCATCTCATCTCCATCCTAATATCTACACACATCCCATCTCATCCTATAATGACACACCATCCATCCATCCTATATCTACACACATCTCAAGCTCATACCTATTATCTACACACATAATCATCCTCATCCTATATCTACACACATCTCATCCCATCTCACCTATCTCTTACACACATCTCATCTCATCCTATATTCTAACACTCCATCTCCTCTATATCTACAAACACATCCCACTCATCCATATACTACACACATCTCAATCTCATCCTATGATCTACACACATCTCATCTCATCCTATATCGACACAACATCTCATTCCATCCTATATCTAAACACACATCTCATCTGCATCCTCGTAATCCCTACCTACACATCTCATCTCATCCTATATCTATCTACACCATCCATCTCATCCTATATCTAAGCACACAATCTCACTCATCTATATCTCCACACATCTCATCTCATCCATATCTACACCACATCTCCATCTCAATCCTATATCTACACACATCTCATTCTCATCCAATATCTAACCACATCCCACTCATCGTCATCCTATATCTACAAACATCTCATCCAATCCTATATCTACACACATCTCACGATCCATCCTATATCTATCACACAGGGGTCCCCATCTCATCTCATCCCTATACTACCACACTCTTCGTCTATCTCATCGCTGTATCTACACACATCTCATCTCATCCCTATATCTACACACACTCATCTCATCCTTACTAGCCACATCTCAATCTCAATCCTGTATCTACATACACAGTCTCATCTCATTCCTATATCAGCAGCACATCTCACTCATCCTAATCTACACACATCTTCCATCTCATTCCTAATATCTACACATCATCTCATCTCATGCCTGTATCTACACACATCTCATCTCATCCAATCTACAACACATCTCATCCTATTCTTCCCATCCTTATCTACAGCACATGCTCATCTCATCCTTAATGCTACAGCACATTCTCATCTCCATCCGATATCTACAAACATCCATCCTCAATCCATCTATATCCTACACACATTCTCATCTCATCCTGTAATTACACGACATCTCATCTCATCCGTATATCTACACACAGTCCCATCTTCATCTTCATCCTATATCTACACACCATCTCAATCTCATCCCTATATATAGCACACATCTCATCTCCATCCGTAGTATCACATCATTTGTTTCATTCATCATCTCATCATAATATCTACTACACAGCCCTTCTCATCAGCCTTATAATCTCGAGCGCGCATTCACGACCTCTCATCTCCCTGTAATCTATCACAGCACCGATCCCCATCCTCCAGCTCCTATAGGCCTCTCACACCCACCGCCACGTCTCGCCATCCCTCCATCGGCTGCGATCGCGTCGATACCACACGCCCACATCCCATGCGGCATCCTATACTCTAGCACCAGTCTCATCGGTACATCCTAATGCTACAGCATAATCTCATCTCCATCCGTCATAGTCTACACACATCTCATCTCAATCCTATATCTACACATCATCTCATCTCATCCTATATCTAACACACATCACCGATCCAATCGCCTCATCCTAATATCTACACACATCTCATCTTCATCTCTATCGCTATATCTACACACATCCGCATC